GTCTTCTTGGTATAGTCTTAACTTGTGACATCACGAAGAACGGGTCCGAGTCCTGATGATGAACATCATATGACGAACAAAAGTTCAGTCTGCTTTCACCCGAAACGAGGGAGATGCCTCGTGGACTGCGTCGACAGAAACGTCTTAGTAAAGCCAAACGTCTACAGTATAGCAAGATCAGGCCGTCGTATTTTGGTGACATCAACCGACACATCTCTTCATTATGCACTTTCATACGAAATGAAGGTCTCCACAAACTCATCCTTCCCCATCAAAGGGCTATCTCAACTGGACTTTGCCTCGATCTCATCAACAACCAGAGCACGTTTCGAAACTGGGTATTGTGAGTCAGGATTTCGTAACTACCATTTATTGTACTATAAAGGAGCAGTTCTTGAAAGCATCCGTAGATCTTCAATAAGAACTAGAGTCACCAAATGCTGTATTAAGAGGGATTATGTCGCCTCTGCCTGGCGAACTAATGGCGCTTGTATTTGTATGGCGGAATGGTATACGATCCAGTTTCAAATCTTCTGCTGATGAAACCTGTTCGAGGTAGAAAATTTAGTTAGAATGAATTGAAAAGCCGTTTGGGATCAAGACTATTTGAAATTTATTGACGTCTCACAACCTACTCATTTCCTTTGGAGAGATTCAACTGTTGAGCCGACAAAAGGGAGTAGGATTCCTACTCAAGAATAGCACAGTGATGGCTATGAAACCTACTCACTCGTCATGGTAAATAGACTTTACAACTCTACTGAGGATAGAAAGGGTCAAAGAAATGCTCATAAAGGCTACCGCCTTGAGTATGAAGACCGATTGCGAGAAATTAAGCGATGACTATTTCTGGACCTGGACGAGTTGAGGTGATCTGGGCAAGGAACCGGATGAATCGGCCAGATTTACTACAATTTGACACATCTGCAAGCATGAAATGGCCAACCTAATGTTGAGATGTCTCACTGGAGTTGCACAATTTGGTTGTAATAAGCAGGTGAAGAAGTGTATTCACCCTACCTCGTTCATGGCGATGAAGGACTGGTGGTTATATTTTCCCACAAACAAATGAGTAGGCTTCATATTTCTGTTCAATTTCACACATTCTTGCCTCCCAAAAATGTTTTTGCATTCCGACTGGACTGCAGTTTCGACCTCGCCACCCTCGACTTCATCAGCCCCTTGAGCAGGACTCGAACCGTGGCTTGCAGCCTGCCAGCAGTCTTAGCGGAAAGTTCGCTCAGCCCTCTTAAAGGATGCCTGATGTATGATGATGTGCCAAAGAATTGTATGAACCGAAAAACATCAATCTCAACTTCAAGACACTCTTCCTCTGTATGCAGTAATCCCATCTGCCCAACTTTGCCTTGACATGAAAGCAAGTTACTTTCAATCGGTTTCATTTTGTCGAGACTGTTTTGTAGTTATTGCCAGATTTGCTAAAACCTGCCGCCAACGCTGGGACAAGGCTCGCAATCAAGCAGTTTCCCGCCTCAGCAGAGGCATTGCGACGAGTGTCCGTAGGAGGATTCAGGCCGCCAATAAGCTGGGGCCACAACTTCTTGGGCCTGACGACAGGCATAGACGCTTCGAAGACGTCGTCTAAAGTGGCATGTGGGCTGGAGCGAGTGTTGGCATTGATTTGCGTGTGTCTTCGTGTCTGCATGCAACGGTAGGCAAGACTCGGTGTGTATGGCTTCTATGAACTGGAAAGAAACGCGTAAGGGTCATGAGATGTGATTTGCTCGAGCACTGGCCAGCAGAGAAGAGTATGCCACTGAAAGCAACGGTCCGGTTGACTTTTGTTTCGTGCGAATGTGTGGGGTGGACAAATTCGAGGGTCATTCTCACCAGAACACGATGGAATGGTCTTTTTGGCCTACTATGATTAGATCATACTGGAGGGTGAAAAGATGATTCACGTGAGAGCATATTGAGCCTTCGTCTTTCGATAACGAGGCAATGTCATAGCTGTAGATGCAAGAGCAACTGGGTTTCGATGTAGTTCATCGTTGTGGAGACTTGATTTCGTATGAAAATGCCAGAAAATCAGTTGCATGAGATGTGTTCACACGAGAATTTACATGATGGTCAGAGGGACTCCGTGACTAAGAGGTTTGAGGGCTGATTCTACTTTTACTGTAGATGTTTGTTATTTATTCCATGTTCAGGTTGACGCAGTCCATGAGGCCTCCTCCCTCGTTTAGGGCGAAAATGGGCTAATATTTCGTCCATCATGTAAGGAACATCACCGGAGCTGGAACACACTCTTGAAAGCCTCAAGTCAGTAAAGATTAAGCCAATAAAATGCAACTGCCAGTGCTTTCTTATCCCTACTTACAAACAAAAAATAAGTAGTGTATTTAAATGATACAGCAAATATAAATTTGCTTTATTAGCAATCCCACCACGAAGTGTGAAAGGGCAAGGCGACTCGCCTTCCTTGACATTCATATATGCCCTGTGATGCAAATGAATTCGTGGCAATGTGGCGTAGTAGATAACATGTCAAGATTATAGGCTGCACTGTCATAGTTCGAGTCCTGATGTGGGTGCTGATGAGGCTAGGTCGAAATGACAGTCCACTTCGGTCGGGATGGGAATACCTTTTGGCAAGCATGCCTATGTGAAATTCAATGGAACCTTTAGGTTTACTCATATTTTCATTGTGGGAAAATTCGGCTACCAGTCCTTCACTTTCGACGAAATAGGGTGAGCACACCTCATACGAAGTCAAAAAGACTGTCTGATTCTACCTTACGTCTTATATATACTCATAAATGAAAATCTAAACTAAAAATAAGCACATGAAAGAGACTGAACAGGCGAAAGAATGGTAAGTTTACTGATTATGGCACGTCTGCTGTTAAAAGGAAGATAAGAGAGGCTATTGAAGTTTCTAGATTAGGGAATACGTGGAATGTGAGGAATGGTGATATGGATTTGAGTAAGAACCGCTTATACTTGATCTAACTATTGAAAGAGAGAGAGGGTATAAGCCGCTATCCAAAAGAAGGGGACTCAACCTGTCAGCTCTAACATGTAAAGTAAGCTCAGCAACCAAAGCAGACGTATGCGATTCCGCAATCCCAGTTATGTCTTTCTTTAGGTCTTTAAACT